CATCCAATGAGGTGAACCGGGTTCGAATTGCAGCAATAGCTGGACGATGCGAATTCTTCATCCGGCTCGCACAGACCACAGTGATGTAAAATATCCATAGTTATTTTATATCACACGGATCATGGGTTAGAGTCCCCTTGCAGTCGAGATAACCGCTGGAAGTTTTCGTGGTTTTCCTCTCCATGTAACGCAAATTCGAGTTAGTTCCATCAAGAAGTCTTCCACGAAAGCAAATTTCTCCCAATACTTGATTCCGGAGTTCCGTTGTCTTCAGGATTGGGTTCAAAATTACAAGGCTGCGGTGTTGAACATTAGTAGCTGTAAACCAAAAAATTGGGTCGGCTGTTCAACGACAACTATAAAATAAAATAAAAATATGTCATGCTAACTTTTCCCACTTTCAATTGACTTACAATAAGTATTGGAAATTTAAATTTCCCACGGTATATACACAATATATAAACAATATAAAGGCATTGCCACAGTGAAATGCCCTTATATTATTTGACAATAATTAAATAAAAATAAATCACATAACTTACTAACGCAGACTTGGCTGTATCGGGTAAACCAAACGCGTTTTAAAGTTTAGATTAAGAGAACATGATAGATATGGCCGGCATCAAGAATTCGATGAACCATCTATTACTGCCAATTGTAGGGCCTAAATTTAGAGCTCACCCTAGGGCAGGGGTGGCGAACCTTTTTGCACCAACGTGCCATTTTCTCTATAAAAAAAATTGCTTAATGAGGTCATAGACGTGCCGACAAATAATTTTAACTTCGTGATTATTGGGNACTAACGCAGACTTGGCTGTATCGGGTAAACCAAACGCGTTTTAAAGTTTAGATTAAGAGAACATGATAGATATGGCCGGCATCAAGAATTCGATGAACCATCTATTACTGCCAATTGTAGGGCTTAAATTTAGAGCTCACCCTAGGGTTTAAGTTTAGTTTCGATAACTTCAAAGCTTTTCTCCCCCGGTCACATCAGCTCATCTCGATCAGTAAATATGTTACATTTTTTTAAAAATAAAATCACAGCATTTATAAAAAGAAAAAAATTTAAGAATAATACTCTTTCATCAAGATCAAATAAATAAGCCATAATAAAATTATCATTCACAAAACTGAAAAGAATCAAACTTAAAATGATAAAAATGAAAGAATGCAAAAATTTCTCTATATTAGAAAAATATTGTAAAAGCCGCCGTCGCCACCGCTGCTATTTCAAATGTAACGTTTAACGTTAAGTGTTCAACTTAACGTTACATTTTGTTTCACTGCGTAAAAACTACAAGACTTAGGCGCTTTAAATTATGAGGGTATGTAGTAAAATGTACAGGGAGTGCAATGGAATAAAAAAAATAACATCTGATAATTAGTTCTGGAATCTAGCCAGGATAGCCTCGTTGGTAAGGCGTTGAGCCCATGTCGAAGAGGTCGTTAGTCCGATCCTCGCCGGCCGTGTAGTAAATGGTGACTGGTACACGTAAATCTGTCAGATCACAAAATCCTCCATATTCCTATAACAAATCAATACCTCTAAGGGGATACTGATTTGGAGACTGATCCTTCTCTGGTTCAGGTCAAAATTACGATCTGTGGATGAATGAAGGGATTCGCTCTATAAGCGGGCAGTGACGTGTGTTCTGCTGAAGTCGTATTCTTGGCCATAGATGGCATCACAGAAAAACAAGAAAAGCACCCTCTGCCTTAAATTCGCCTGGTTTCACCAAGGAAGCTTATTGGCAAGTGGCATTAGAAACAACAATTGTAGAATCTAATTATATTATTTTACAAAATAATAACTATAAATATGCAAGGATCAGATACTTAAATAATATTGATGAATTATTCAACAAAACCAATACAAATTTGAGACAGAATTTTTTGTTTTTAATAGCCAGAGTAAAATATTAGAAATAAAGTTATCCTCTTCAAGATTAACAGTGGTCGCCTTTTTCATATAAATATGGATTCCATGACTGTGCGGCACCATAGTAATCTTTGCTTCTTTTCTCTTTCAATTTTTTTTTTATCATAGAGATGTGTTCCAATTTGTTGCACTATTTTAAATACAAGAAATTTTATATTCTATAAGCATGTTTTAGTTTATTGCGTAATTACATTATATTTTTATTGCTAAATTTAATTTACATGTTATGAATTTGGAAACAGTAAGCTTTATCTTTGGCATGCAACTTTAATGCATGTAATTTGGTCCAAAATACGACTGAAAAAAATACGATCCAAAATAGAATGGTCCAAAAATACGATAGATAAAAATTTTGTTTTTCTTATCATTTTCTTTTAAATAGCTAACAAAAAAAAGCTATTTAAATTCAGCTCAAAAACTTTTAATAAAAGTTTTAATTTGCTAAAAACATTTTTATAAAAATTTTCTAATTTCTTTCTCGTTCTTCCACCCCTAAAATATAAATTTCTGTCAGTAAATAAATAAAAACTTGCTGTATCAAATAGATGATATAACTTTTGGAGAACCTGGTATCAATATCCACCCAAAAGAAATTACGTATCTCAATTGCTCATGAAATGCGATCTACATTAACTTTTCTTTATAATTTAGCTTTAAACTGAGAACTTTTATTATTTGTGTAACATATCTGCAATGCGTACTGGGTGGAAAAAATGGATCACATTGAAAAACTTTTGACTTAATGATCAAATCTCATGTTCTAATGGTTCAAGGGGGTGATCTTAAATATACCAATCAATTGGTGCAGCCGGCAGTACTTTAAGTTACGAAATCAGGCCCAAAAACGTTCTTTTTATAAATAAAGATACCTTTTTTTCGGCGGATTCAGATTTCTGAATCCTGAAATGTAGGGGGTAGCCGCAAACTGGGAAATATAGTTCGAATAGTTTTATCAGAAGAGAGATTCAAAGTGTGGATCCCTTAATGTTAATTTTTGTGTATTTCCCCATGTCTCGAGAACTTCATAAGCAAATTGAAAATTTTTTGCACACAATTATAAAACTCATTTATATAAAGATAATACCATCCAAAAAATAACTTTTAGTAAATATTTATTACTATTATTCTTTTATTACTTCTTTTACTATTTTATTTTATAATAGTCGAGAAATTCTTGAACAGTAAGATGTACAATTTTTTACAACATTTAAAAGAATATAATTTTATATGGCAAAATACAAAATTTTAGAAATCGCATATTAATCTTAGAAATCGCATATTAAAAAAATTCAATTTTTTATGTAAATTACATTCATTAAAATAATGTAAAAATACCTTACGATTCAAATGTTTTTCGACTTTTATTATATAAAATACTAAAAAAATAAATATTTACTAAAAGTTATTTTTTGTATGGAACTATCCTTGGATAAATGAATTTTAAAATTGTGTGCAAAGATTTTTCAATTCGCACAAAAGTTTTCGATATATACGAATATCGAGATATATTTCGAAATACACAAAAAATAATTGAGATCATATTTCCCAGATTGCGTGTACCCCTTATATTTTGAAAGTTAGAAATCCAAATCTGCCGAAAAGAAAGCACGTGTATTCAGAGAAAATTCGTCTTTGTGTTTGACTTCGTAACTTAAAATATCATCTACACTAATTAATTATCATATTTGAGGTTTACTCCTCTAACCATTAAGATTGAGTCCTAGAACATGAAGATCCGGTCATTAGGTCAAAAATTATGCAAACAAATTCAAAATGCTTTTTTTTTTGCTCTCGCTAACTACACACTGGTCAATAAATTAGATAACTTGTATTTTTTCTTTCTTTCGCTTCTTCTTCTGTAAGGATAAGAGCCAGTATTCGAGAGGGCATGATTCCACAGAAGTTCATTTCTTACTGGAGAGTATTTATATTCAAAAAATAACATGAATTAACTACGTTAGCTGTAGATAATAAATATTGTAAACATGATGCAACTGAAGACTGCTAACGAATGTGCCTTTCCAACAAGTCTCAGATACTTTTATTAGGTTAAGATCCAGATTTTGCGATGGCTAGGGAGGATGTTGACAAGTCAAATTGATGTTTATAAAGCCAATTCTGTACGCTTCAGGCGCGATGTACTGTTGAATTATCTTAAATGACTTTTAATACGCAAAATATTAAGAAAGGGGAAACCATAAGTGCATTTCCATACAACTAAGAAGAGTAGGAAAGGGAAGGAGAAAGGGTCAAGACATGGAAACGATCTTTTCCCCTGATGGCGTATCTAGCGCTGCGATCGCGAATGGCATTGAAGTCACAAACGTGAGCGATATGTCCTAAATGCAAGATGGCAACTTGTGAAAACCATTTAGCTAAAAGTTTTCTTATCGATGGCAACATAAATTGATTGTTTGTAAATAAACAAATCTTTTGAATCGCAGTTGCTTGTGTGTTTAGGTAGTGTATNCAAGAAAATTTTAGCATATATTTTGAAAAGAGGAGAGGAGTGGGGAAAGGAGGGGAGGGCCCAAAAACGGCTATGCCTAGGGCCTACGAAAGGTATAATCCGGCTCTGACTGGAGTGCATTTATATTCAAAAAATACCATGAATTAACTACGTTGGCTATAGATAATAAATATTGTAAACATGATGCAACTGAAGATTGCTAACGAATGTGCCTTTCCAACAAATCTCAGACACTTTTATTAGGTTAAGATCCAGATTTTGCGATGGCTAGGGAGGATGTTGCAAGTCAAATTGATGTCTATAAAACCAATTCTGTACGCTTCAGGCACGATGTACTGCTGAATTATCTTAAATGACTTTTAATACGAAAAATATTAAGAAAGGGGAAACCATAAGTGCATTTTCATACAACTAAGAAGAGTAGGAAAGGGAAGGGGAAAGGGTCAAGACATGGAAACGATCTTTTCCCCTGATGGCGTATCCAGCGTTGCGATCGCGAATGGCATTGAAGTCACAAACGTGGGCGAAGTATCCTAAATGCAAGGTGGCAACTTGTGAAAACCATTTAGCAAAAAGTTTTTTTTATCGATGGCAACATATATTGAATGTTTGTAAATAAACAAATCTTTTGAATCGCAGTTGCTTGTGTGTTTAACTTGTAATTAAGTAAAGTTTAATAATAATTTTTAATTATAGCTGTACCTATTTTTAAAGAATTTGAAGTTAAAAATGCCAACTAATGAAATTATCACTATTCAAGCGGGAAATTATGCAAACTTTGTTGGTACTCATTGGTGGAATATTCAAGTAAAATATTAGAACTTCCTTTTTAATTATAAACTTTTTCGTTCTTAAGCATTGCATTTAAAACACATTTCTTAAAAATAATATATAAGATTCTAGGTTGATTTTTAGCCGTATAGAAATAAATTTCTAATTTCAGATGAATTGAGATATGTCACGAGAATTAATTATTCAATCTGTTATTAAGATTTTTGCTTTCCGGCATTTTGAGAGATGGAAATTTTTTGTTATCGAAACTTTATTTGAAGTGGTTGATATTCGTGGCTATTATTATTGTCAAGGCGCCAAATAGATTTTAAACTTGTAATTAAGAAACAGAAAACATGTACCTAGAGGTTTTCTCGGAGGTGGCTACGAGTTACCTTCAAGTTAGTTTGTGAGGTTTTTTTATTTCCCCCCTTCTTTTTTAAGTTTCTTTTAGGCCACTATCCGGAAGTGGGTAAGACTTATAAGTATTTTATAATTTATGACTTCCAAAAAAATTTAAGTTATGTTTGAAAGGCAGTTAAAGATCAAACACCTAAGTGGTGGTAAGGCTCTTATGCATTGACGCGATACTTTTCTGTAACTCAGTACAGTATTTAAGGATATAACAGTATATATTTTAGATAATTTGGCGGTAGAAATTTTTTTTTATTGACAAACTATTAGTTTTTGATACAAGAACAAGGGAAGTATCGAGAAAATATGAGGCATTTTTCTTCATTGAAATATTGTTTTCAAAATATCTTGTTGCATACAAACTTTAGTATCAACTAGCTGAATGCCATATCTTGATATGACGTACAAAGAATTCAAGTAATGATAAATCAGTATTAATCAAAACTGCTCAATCATTCATAAAACTGGAAGTCTTACCATTATTTAAAATAATTCCAATTTCTTTTTGTTATCGTCTTTTTTTATTCTCTTATCTATTTCATTTGTTGAACTGTCTGGTATTGTTATGTTATCAGATGATTAAGCAAAACACGTTTTTAGAAGTTCATCCCATCAAAATAACAATTTACTTTACTCAGTATTATTTGGCATCAAATATGATGGAATTAATTATTGACTCTGAACTATAGTTTGGATTTATAAATATCAAATAGTTTTCCCCATGAATATCCACTTTAAAAAAGAACTTTTTTATTTTGACATTAGTTACTGTTGATTTTTCATTACATGTTTTTCTAAAAAAATTTTTTTCAAAAGCATAACCATAACAAAACTAATTTCATAATTTTAGGTAATAATGGAAAAATTATTCTATACTGAAACAAATACTCTGAACTATGATTTTAAATCTAAAAACTTTGAGTTATTCAGAAGATTGAGTTAAAGACATAAAGGAACATTAAGAACATAAGAATCTCCTAACATTAAGATTTAACTTTATGTTGAAACTCTAAAAAGAAAATTATTGTAGCTGTCTTGATTATTTAATAATACTTGTGGGCTCCTCTTTCTGTTCTATGATGGTCCTTAATCCCAGAATATCCTATAGGATTTTAATTTAAATTAATTTTGAATGTGTTTCAACAAAAAATTAAGAATCAAGTCAAATGACTCAGCTATTGAGAGGTCAACATAGATCTATATAATGTACAAGAATGATGCTCATGAATTTTTTTTTTACTGTTATTAAAAACGAAAAAAAATTCTGCTCTTCAAAGATAGTTTTTTTTCCCGAACCTGTGAAACAAGAAGATTAATTTTTATGCTTTTTCCTATGAATGCAAACATGGTTCAAAATCATACACAATTCATATTTACTTATTTTAAGACCATGCATCGTGTTTCGTATTCACACAATTTAAACGCCACTGTTATGATTCATGTTCAAGTGGCTTAAAAATTATACATTGGAATTCGCATTCACCTGATTTTGAAATGAATATCAAGATTAATGATCACGATTTTGAAATGAATCATCGAGATTCAATATCACACGATTTTGAAATCAACTATCAAGATTTGTATTCATGCTATTTTGAAGTCAAATATGGAGATTCGTATTAACACAATTTTAAAATAAAACATCAGGATTCATATTCACATGATTTTAAAATTAAATGTCGCAATTCTTTTTTTTGTTTTTTTGTTATGTCTGTCAAATGTCTTGAATCAAATGTTTTCATGCGTCTTGATTACTGCGTTTGAAATTTTCTTGATATTATCGTCATAAAGATCTATCAATGATGGCAAGACTCCTATTTCTCTTAGATTAGCACTCATTGCTGGACACTCAAAGATGTGGCATGATGTCAGCTGCGTATCTGGGCAGTTTTCACAATTCCTATATACTTTCCTGTCCTCTCTGTCGATCTTCATGCTTCTGTGGTGATTGGTTCTCAGCCTGGCTATAGTTGTGGATCTATCTTCATTTACATTACAAATCATGCGTTTCGTTGGAAATGGTTTTTCTCTTAGTTTAGATTTAGTCATTAATGTTGAGATTTCTGACTTCCTTGGCTAATTTATCATCATTTTCATTGTCTGCAATGTCAGCGTGTGCTGGTATCCACTGAAAAGTAAAGGCTCTGTTTGAGTCCTGAAAATCATGAAGATTTGAAATGATTTCTTGGGTGATAGAAGAGTCCCCTTTTAAAATTGCTTGGAGGGCAGCCTTCGAGTCACAGAAGATAACAAGGCCCTTTGCTTGCTGAGAGGTGGGAAGGGCTTTATACATATTAAGGGCCTCCAAAATTTCCCGTAGCTCGCAGGTGAAGTTAAAGGCTATAGCGCCTGCTCCAAATTTACCTTATTGGGGGGAATTACTTAAAGTAGTTAAAAACGATCCGGAGCCTCCATTTGTGATAGTTTTATCAGAGGAACCATCTGTATATGCATGTACAAAGTTCTCTTTTGGAAACTGTTCAATTGTCTTGAGTCCTTTTTCTTGAATGATATCATTGTTTTCATTTTTATTGCATGACTCCAAGAGGTCAGTGTGGATATTTGTGTTCAGTGGAAGCCTTTTGTGGAAGATTGGGTCTTGTAGAATGACATATTTGTTGTGCTCAAAGCCTACGCTTGCCCTGATATCTCTATCGTATTGCATGGGTGAAGATCTTTTCAGTCTTATCTTGGCATTCCATTCTTCGAAGGTAATGCGGGAAATATGTTCAGGTACGCGACTTCGCGCTTGTTGCAATTCATATTCGCATGATTTAAAATGCGCACTCTGAGTTACATATTCACACAATTGAAACAAGTAAATGATATCTCGCATCAATATTTTTATTTAAAATATTGATAACAGTCTGTGGATAAATGCTTCTTGTATACACTTTTTTCTTGCTCAAATTGTAGGTATTTTTTTAATTATTTGAAAAGTGTTTTGTGCATAAAATTTTTGGATTTTTATTTTCATTTTTAAAATTTTTACTTAGCTTATCTCTGTAGTATGAATCAATATGGAGTTCAATAAAAATTAAACATTTTTAAAAGAATCCGTGATTTTCAAACGAATTTCGCCCAAACCAAGTGGATACAAAAGGGTTTCTACTTACATCTTTCATAACTGTCATCAAAATTTTTTTCTGCTCCTTGAGCGCTTTTTTATTATACTTAAAAAGCGTAACAGTACGACTAATACTCATTTTTCAATGAATAATAATAACAATGAATCAAATTATTGTTATTGAACCTGCATGAAAGTAATTAAAACATAGTATAGAACACTTTGTTATGAACTATTCGCTTTTCACCTTTCAGTTTTTCCCAACTTATAGCTCAGTCTGTTTCAGCTTTTCGTTGTTTGTCCACACAAAAGAGAATTGTCATTTAGAAAATTGCAAACATGTAAGTTTACACTTTCATGCTTATAACAGCTTACACACTTGATATTTCAATTCTTTGTTGCCAACACTAAAAAGAAATAAGCACTTTCTTTGTCACCTTGAGAAAGAAATATATAATGCTGTTTTTTTTTTCATCAAAGATTTTTATTTTTAGACCTGTAAAAATTTTATAAAATATGTATTTTTTTTTCACCTCAGGAATCTTCATTTGTTTACTCTGCTGCTGGTTCTACGCCTGTAGATATTGATCATGATGTGATGTTCAGTGAAGGTTCTAATTTAAGGGTAATTTTTTTTATATCTTTTTAAGTAATCTTGTTTGGTTTATAATATCATCGTGCGTATCTTTTTTAAAAAGTGCTTAAAGGTGCTTATTTTCGACTTTTGTTTTTTAAAAGCCCTTAAAGGTGCTTATTTTCGACTTTCGTTTTTTAGAAGCCCTTAAAGGTGCTTTTTTCATTGGGTGTTTTTAAAAAGTGCTTAATTTTCCCTTTTCGAAAATGATATTTTTTTCTTTACCGTGTTGATTTTCGCCACGTATTTAAACAAAAGCATGTGCTTTTCACATTATTTTGTTCAATTCAATGTTTTCACAATTAATTCAATCACAGTCTATTTAGGCGTCCCGTCGGTCCATAGCACATGAAAGCACCAATCATTTTACATGTTTGATGAAATCCTTGAAAGTCCACATGTGCGTCTACTGAGCTCGAGGGTTTGGTGAGATTCTTCCACTCTCATGTGCAACTCTGCTGCATTTTGTAAGATATTATCAATTTCAGGCTTCATTTTCCACAGTCTGATATCAAACCGAAAAACCTCTTCATCTTTTTATAATGGCTAATATAATCAAGAAAAGAGTTCTTAGTCAGAAACTGGTTATTTTATCATGATCATGTAAAGTCTTTGAAAATTATTTTGCATTTTATTAATGTATATAGTGCTTAAAAATATTTTTAAGTGCTTAAAAAGTACTTGAAAGGTGCTTATTTTTTGTTGAAAGATTTGGCTACGCACCCTGAATATTGTTGTTGTAATAGACAAGTTAAACTTAAGATTAATTGTTTTCAAAGTTTTTGACTTGTGGAGATATTTTTCTTCAAANAAAAAAATTTAGAAAAAATAATCAAATGATTGATTTAATATGTAGGCTATTATCAAGGAAAGGTAAATTTTGGTGTCAGTGAGCTATAAATTTATAAAAGTTTGGTAAACAACGCTAGATAGTATTATTTGGTCAAAAAATAAGTTCAGTCTTGAAATTTTTTTATAGTGGCACCCTTGATTGTTCAATTCAATGTTTTCACAATTAATTCAATCACAATCTATTTAGGCGTCCCGTCGGTCCATGGCACATGAAAGCGCCAATCATTTTACATGTTTGATGAAATCCTTGAAAGTCCACATGTGCGTCTACTGAGCTGGGGGGTTTGGTGAGATTCTTGCACTCTCATGTGCAACTCTGCTGCATTTTGTAAGATATTATCAATTCCAGGCTTAATTTTCCACAGTCTGATATCAAACCAAAAAACCTCTTCATCTTTTTATAATGACTAATATAATCAAGAAAAGAGTTCTTAGTCAGAAACTGGTTATTTTATCATGATCATGTAAAGTCTTTGAAAATTATTTTGCATTTTATTAATGTATATAGTGCTTAAAAATATTTTTAAGTGCTTAAAAAGTACTTAAAGGGTGCTTATTTTTTGTTTAAAGATTTGGCTACGCACCCTGAATATTGTTGTTGTAATAGACAAGTTAAACTTTAAGATTAATTGTTCTCAAAGTTTTTGACTTGTGGAGATTTTTTTCTTCAAAAGCTTAGTATTATTATCTTGTATTTTATTTTTCCAGTTAATTATGTTTAAATTGCTTTTAAAGTTTTAAATCACCTAAAATATTTCATTTATTCCTGTTCTGTCCTGACTAAAATTGTGAATAAGTAATTGCTTCAAACTGTATTGTTGGTTAATTTTTGGCGTGTGTCAGTTTTTGACCTTTTTAACCGTAGATAAAACAAAACTTTAAAAAAGTATTGGTATAAATAATTATTTTCTCAGTTGAACATTGATGTCTAGCATCACTGGCAGCTGTCAGTGAATGGATGAGCGGCAACTTTGATCAGCATGTGAAGGGACCAAGGGTGTACGATATCGGCCCTCATTAAACTGTTCTATCATAAAGTGCTCAACTTTATATTCTTTTCATCTGGCTGCCAAAGCAGGGGAGAAATCCCCTCTGCACAATTTTAAATTGAGTATTTTGAATAATGATGATTTTAAATAATGCTTGAATTTTAAATAATGAAAATTTTTTAGTTTGTTAATTTTTTACTAATCAAAGATTGAGTGCAAAAGTTTCATTTTCAAATTTATTCATAACATGAACTAAATGATTGTACTTTGAACATGAACTAAATGATTTGAAAAGGTAAAAAAATAAATTTTAATCAAAATCAAGGAACTTTTTTTGTCAAATTTTTTTTTGAGAATTTTTTAAAAATTTGGAAAATTTTTTTTCCAGCATTCTCTTTACAAATAAATCAAATAAAAGTACTAAATTTGAAAAATAACAAAGTGCAAACAAAAATACGTACTTTTTACTTTAGTTGCAAGTAACGAAAGTAAAATGATTATTTTCTCAGTTGAACATTGAAGTCGAGCATCACTGGCAGCAATAAAAATTTTTTTTTGAGAATTTTTAAAAAATTTGGAAATGATTTTTTTCAGCATTCTCTTTGCAAGTACTAAAAATAAATAAAATAAAAGTACTAAATTTGAAAAGTAACTAAGTGCAAACAAAAATATGTACTTTTTGCTTGCAAGTAACGAAAGTAAAATTATTTCCATGTATGAACGCAAATAAAGAATTACAACATCTAATGCAGTATTATTAATTTTCAGGGTGACGTGACTTATACACCTAGATTAGTTCTAATTGAGGCACAAGATAACTTTAGAAATCTTCCTAAAGAAAGTTCATTATATAGGAGTGATAATGAAGATTCCAAAACTCAATGGTAGTTCAAATAAAAAAATTTTTGTTTTAGCTTTTCTATGTTTTATTCGATGATTCACTTTTTTTAATCTCTTTTTCTATTAAGGGATGGTTTCATCGATGTAATAAAAAAACAACCGGTGGAGATGAACCCTTTTTTAGAAGGAACTAACGTTACTATGACTCCAGGTAAAAATCAAAAAAGTTATATTTGATCATAGTTTAAAACGAAAAAAATTGCATTTTTTTTACGTTAAAAAGTTTTACATTTGAAAGATTTTTTGCTTTCTTAAAAATATTAAAGTTTGATTTGTTTGGTATCAGAAATGGATTAGATCTTAACTGATCCACTTTGAGCTTGAATGTTTTGCATTGAAATTATTATTTATTTTTGTTGATTTATTTTAAATTTATGCATTTTCTATTTCCTTTTTATTAATTCATTAAAACCTCTGAACAGTGGTTCCTTTTGGGACTGTGCCTATGTGATTGGTGTTAACAGGTAACCGCTATGTGGAATTATAAATGAAATGGTTGTTCAAAAATATATGAAAAATTGCCAACAGTGTCAAGCAACAGAAGACCCTACTATATTTTATTTTCTGCATGGTCATATAGTGCAATTAATTTTTATGCACTTATTTATTTTTAACCAGGGTGCATAGCATTTTTAAAATGTGCTCAAAGGTGCTTATTTTTGATTTTCATTTTTTAAAGCCCTTAAAGGTGCTTTTTTCATTGGATATTTTTAAAAAGTGCTTAATTTTACCTTTTTCAAAATGAAGTTTTTCCTTCACTATGTTGATTCTCACTTCGAATTATGCACAAAGACAAGACATAGTTCACATTGTTCTATTCAACGTTTTCACAATTAAGTCAACCTCAATCTCTTTAGGCGTATTGTCAATCCGTAGCGTATGAAAACAACATTCGTTTTACATGATTCAAAATTTAATGGTTTTTGACAATCGTCAAAAACAATGCCAAAAGTTTTTTTTTGTTTTGTTTTGTTGACTTGACTGTTAAGACAAGGTAAAACCGTCAATTGTCAAAAACTTTCCAACCCTGCCTAATTTGATATTTTTTTAAAGTGCTTAAATATTTTTTGAGTACTTGAAAAGTGCTGATAAGGTGCTTATTTTTTGTTGAATAATTTGACTATGCACTATGTTAACTATCCGCAATAAATTAGATTTTGACTTTAAGTGTGAGGTATTTTCATTTTCGTTTATCACTCATATTTCCATTATTCATTTACTTAATTTCTTATTCATACATTCACTTTTCCAGTATCTAGAATGTTAAGAATGAAAAAATGAAAGAGCTAAAAAGATTATTGGTCAAGTGTATGCACGCATTGTTTCTTTCGCTCAAATGTTGGTAATTTTTATGAGCTGCTTAAATTGATAAGCTGACAGATCAAACATCCAGAGTTTTCACTCATAGTGTATGTTAAGGTGCTTATTTCTTAAAGNTTAGGCGTATTGTCAATCCGTAGCGTATGAAAACAACATTCGTTTTACATTATTCAAAATTTAGTGGTTTTGACAATCGTCAAAAACAATGCCAAAAGGTTTTTTTTTTGTTTTGTTGACATGACTGTTAAAACAAGATAAAACCGTCAATTGTCAAAAACTTTCCAACCCTGCCTAATTATGATATTTTTTTAAAGTGCTTAAATATTTTTTGAGTGCTTGAAAAGTGCTGAAAAGGTGCTTATTTTTTGTTGAATAATTTGGCTACACACTCTGTTAACTATCCACAATAAGTTAGATTTTGACTTTAAATGTGAAGTATTTTCATTTTCGGTTATCACTCATATTTCCATTATTCATTTACTTAATTTCTTATTCATACATTCACTCTTCCAGTATCTAGAATCTTAAGAATGAAATAGCTAAAAAATTATTGGTCAGGCCTATGCTCACATTGCTTCTTTCCCTCAAATGTTGGTAATTTCTATGAACTGCTTAAATTGATAAGCTGACAGATCAAACAACCAGAGTTTTCACTCATAGTGTATGTTAAAACAAGATTCCTGCAGACCACCCATGGAAGATGCAGCTTATCTGTAGTAGGCTGAATTGAACTGTCAAAACTATGGTTAACTTATGGATGAATGCTTAAAAATTTTATTTAAACAAGATTCCTGCTGACCACCTTTGAAAGATTGCTTATTTGTAGTAAGTGCAATTGAACTGTCAAATCTCTGATTGACTATTAATGTTGAAGGTTGACAAAGTAGCGGACGATTATTCTCAACAAAGAATATAATTTAAATTGCTGTTGAAGATTGACAAAGTAGCAGATGATTATTCTCAACGAAGAATATAATTTAAATTGCTGTTGAAGAGTGACAAAGTAGCAGACGATTATTCTCAACAAAGAATATAATTTAAATTGCTGTTGAAGATTGATGAGTCATATTTAACCAGGTTGGAAAAAGCACAAAATTAAAAAAGGACATTGTATTGGTGGTTCACGTTTTCTCTGTCTCTCTCTCTCCCTTTTTTTTTTTTTTGAAAGAATTAGTGGAACGTTTTTTTCTTCCTTTTGGTTGAAGTTCTTTCTTGTGTTTTTTACCACAATGTGAGATTTTTTCCTTAAATTAAGCAATAAAATTTTATTTGTTTTTTGTTTTGCAATATTTTTTCTATGCTACATTTTTGTTATTTATTTAGTAGTTAAGATAAAAGGTTCTTTTATTTTGGTAACTGCAACATTTTCATTGTATAAATGCTTAAATACTATTAACAATGACTTGAATGTGATAACAAGTAGGTTTAATAATGATCAGTTAAATATATAACAAATAAGTGACAAAAATTTGAAAAAGTTGACTAAGATACACCTTAATGCAAAATTCATGCTAGCAACAAGTGACTGTTGTTTAGAAATTGCTGTTTACAGTTACCTCACAATGTAAGTACTATGGAGAACATTGTGGTGTCATAAACATATGGCTGTTTGTCGGAGATTGCTATTGTTTTGAGGTTGTCATTAAGTATTGTATATTATTTATTATTGTGGCGTAACTACCACTACGGAAATTAATCATCAATTCACTGGTATATAAGACATGCTAACTTAATTCAATCACGAGTTGCCTTTTGATAGATGAAGGTTGACATACGAGGCCTGTCTGAAAAGTATCCGACCTTTGGCCGGAAAAAATATTTCGAATACCTGACGGAGTTGGGACCCTAATCCCTTTCAAAGTAGGCCCCTTGTGCTTGCACACACTTAGCCCACCGATCCTTCCACTGCTGGAAACACCTCTGGAAGTCTTCTTTTGGAATGGTGTTCAGCTCTGTCGTCGCGTTCAGCATTATCTCTTCTCTACTTTTAAAACTGGATCTTTTCAGTGGCGTCTTCAATTTTGGATACAACCAGAAGTCGCAAGGAGACAGGTCTAGAGAGTAGAGAGGTTGGCGAATGGTTGTAATTCCATGTTTGGCTAAGAAAGTGTGGATCAATTGGGATGAATGTGCAGAGGCGTGCTTTTTGTTCCGGCGACAACAACTTGGGTACGAATTTTGCAGCCCCTCGGTTCACGTTCAAATCTTCACGCAAAATTGCATGTGCAGAATCTTTACTCACTCCAACCTCTTCTGCAATCTCCCGCACTGCCAAACGACGATCTGCCATCCCCAAATTTCACAACCTCTCAGCATTAACTGCACTCTGAGCAGTTTGAGGCCTGCCACAACGTTGCTCACTCTCTGCTGATGTGCGGCCATCTTTGAATCGGTTGAACTACTCCTTAATTTGTGTCCCATCGCTTCTTCTCCAAACACCTGCTGAATCTTACAAATTGTTTGGCTTTGAGAATCACCAAGCTTTTGACAGAATTTCATGCAGTATCTTTGCTCAATTCGTTCAGTCATCTTGCGAGATAACTAAATCCGACGAACACTACGAACAGCACCTTACTTGGCGACCAACAGCCAGCGAGTTGCACAAGCGACCACGGTGAAACAATTCAGTATTGTGCATTAAGGTTCCACCTTCCACTGTGCAATAAGGCGCCGCCTTAAAGTCACTACTTTGCGCAGGAAAAATTAAGGTCGGATACTTTTTAGACAGGCCTCGTAGTCGTTAACTCCGTCCCCACATTATCTCAAATTTTAATGAGTGAAATTCTTAGATTTCTTCAAAATTAAATTAAAATTGTTTGATTATTTTCAGTGGATTCTGGTAACATTGCTTCATTTGAACATCCTTCTACCTCTTGGTCATATTTCTTGAGAACTAATTTACATCCTAGCAGTCTATGTCTTGTGAATGAATTATGTGTTGAGTATGATGTCTCATTTTATTTATCCAATTATATTGTAAAATTATTTTTGTGAAAATAGTGCTTAATTCTGTATAGCAGAAGATCTAGCTACTCTATTATCAGATCTCCATAAACTATATTGACTTTGTGAGTGCAAACAATGATTATCGCTATTAGGAATTTTCTGTTACTAAGCAAGAATTATTAACTTTTCATATTATTTGTTATGAGATTACAATTTCAAAGACTTAATGTGTAAATATTTTTTTTAAAGATGTTTATATCCAAAAATTATCTTGAAGTATTTTATGATTTATTTGTTCCAGACTAATATTGCGGCCATGCTTAGCTACAATAAAATAAAAACACTTAAAAACTCAAAAATTCAAAAGTGCATGTTTCGGTTTTTAAGTATTTATATCTAAAATTAATAGAGACTATTTAATAATTGATTTGTTCCAGACAAATGCAGTAGAAGATCTATAAAACACAATTCTTTCTCCTTAAATCACATTAGCTTTGCTAGTGTAAACAATAAGAAGTGTAATTAAAAAATATCTATAACTAAGCAAGATCTATTAAGTTTTTATATTATTTTTAAGCATGTTACAATTTTAAAAGTTAAAGAAATCAAAATTGATAAATTTGCTCATTCCCAAGAAAAAATAAATTATTTTCAGTAAATACTAAATAAACATATTTTTGCATTTTTCATTATTTGAATCTAATACCTAATTATTTTAAAGCATTTAAGATTGATCTGTTTCAGATTAATATTGTCATGTTTGAAAGGTAAGTTATAAGATATATGAAATGATCTATGTAATGCAAAATTCTCTAAAATGTAAAGCCTTGTGTTTCAAGGTTTGCATTATAAAGATCTAATGTATTGCTGCCATGTTTAGTTAATGATCAATATGACAGAAAATTATAATGAAGCACGAATAGCTAATGCTCAATATGAAGCGCTAAGTCTCGTATTTCAAAATCTGCATCAGAAAGATCTTCTGTATAAGTATAGTAGAACTAAAGAATTCCCGTGTCAGAATCGCAGTGACACGACAACATTGTCGCAGAATGTTGCAGAATTCTTGTAGAAAGTTTTCTTTTCTACAGAAATTTACACGTAAAATTTGATTCATACATTAAGATTATCACTTTTTGTATTATCACATTTCTTCCAAAAGAAATGCATTAGGTGTTATTTTCTCTCTAAATTACATTAGAATTACCCTACTTTCTTGTAAATTTTCCAATTGAATTGTTTATTTAGGGTCCATCTAAGATATTTAGTCTTATAACAAAATAATATTTGCAAAATTATACACATATAAACAAATTTCTAACAATATCTTTTTAAATTTTGATTAAAAATTAACTATTAAATTGTTTAAATCATGGCATTTTTTTATAAAACACTTTTGATTTTCAAGTTTATTGAAGAAAATAAATTAAAAACAATTATCTTTATAATCAAAATATTTTTATTATCTGAATTAAATTGGCCTAATTTCCTTAAATAATTGAGGTTTTATTGTAATTTGTTATGATCAGTTAAAACTAATACGAGTTCAGTTTACAATTATATCTTTATTATTTCTTTTAATATTTTAAACACTTTGAAATGTTCATAGGGATGTTTTTTATTTTTGGTAATACAGTTTCTTTTTTCTACAGTGATTTAAGCCCTTATGAATTATATAGTAATGGAGAAGCAATTTATAGTAAAAACGGAGAGCAATTTGAAGAATCTCTTAGAAAAATGGGTGAAGACTGCGATTGTTTGCAGGTATGTTCTTAATCATGAATCTGGCTTGCTTTCTGAGCATTAATATTTGGTGTTTTTTAAATGTGAATACTGTCTTGCAGCTATGAAAATTCCTCTGAACACCAGACTTGAATGGTTACTTAGATGTAACCATTCAAATAGGGTGTGGGGTTAGTCAATTCGTTTAGGTATAGGCTGATGAAGACGATAAACAGTTAAAAATTAAAATCTCAATTGTTATATTAGGAATTGTCAATAAATAATAATTAAACTAAAACTGTGTTAGTAAAAAAAATTAATTCTCGTCTGAAATGTTGTAAGGAAAAGGATTCAAGAGTTTTTCACTCACTAGGTTGCAGTACTTATCATGCAGGCAATGATAATGAATCAGAAGCTGTGAGTTCATTTATTTTACTTCTCAAGACAATGCGTTATGAAGGAACCCATCGCAAAGAGTTGTTTTTTGCCGACCTCCTGAAGCCAATGAGAACGGAGAGGTTAACAAAGCTCAGAAGGATTGAATTAACGCAATAATAATTACATAATCTTTAGCGCTAACATAAAATACAAATCTAATTGAGTTGTTTATTCTTAAGAAAAGAATTGAATCTAATAAATTATCCTTCATAATTGATCTTAAATCATTATAAATGTATTTTAATGCTGAGAATAGTCATCCTACAGCAATTTGGCTAACAGGCAATAAGTTACAGTGCAGCAGGCCACTTGAATGTCTGAAAGAAATAATAAAATTGTTGGAGCTTCTGCTCCAAGAAAAACTCAACTCCAGAACACTTTGCTCTGGGCTGTGGCTCAGGCTCCCTGCGGTTGCACAACAAAGCTAGACCCCACAAATCAAAACAATAATGGAACTTCTTTCAAGAATTCAAAGGAGAACTCTTGATCCACCCACCTGCATCACCCGTATAAGGAGATGGAGATTTTAGCATTTGTTAAATCAGGTACAGGTTGGGGGTAAAAAAATACTTAATTTGTTCTGTTTAAAGGTCAGGTGTGTGAGAGAGGGAAAGGCATTTTTTCCCAGCGGTAATAAGAATCACGTCATTTGTTTAGTTTTCTGGTAAACAGTAAAGATTTTCTTTCATTTTTATTAGCATTAAAGAATTGATGAAGAAAGTCAACTTTAATTTGTATATCTCTAACCTTAGATGCATAATTTTTATGAATATTTTTCATTATTTCGTATTGATTTAGGCCAAAATATTATAATTCGATTTTTAATAATTTATGGTTATGAAATTTGACGAAGACAGGGATGCGTGTGTCCCTTGTCAAATATGGACCAATAGCTCACTTTCAAACAATAATTTTTAAAATTTGCTTTATTTTGCATTTATTTAGATCTAATAGAGGCATTAATTGGTCATTGAAATTTCTGTTATTTACAAAATTGTTGATAAATTTTTGAATATGAATGAAAAAAATAAATCAGACTCCTTTTTTTATATTTTAGTACGAATGTTATTCTGATAATCTAACAGATTTTTTTAGTAACTATTAAGCTGTTTTTTTTAATAATTAAAAAAAATACCAAATATCTTTTTACTTGTAATTAGAGAGTCAGAAAATATAAAGAAGGGACACAAGTGTCCCATCTGCATCAAAGGGTCAATTATTGATATTGAATTTAAATGAGAATAGTTATACTAACTTTAACTATGATTCCTTATTAACGATACAATTTTATAAATTTAGGTAAATTTACTTTAATAAATCCTACAATATATTTATGTTCACAATGCTGTTAAAAAATAATATCCCATTTCTAATGAGAATTTCAATTTGATTAGTGTAATTAGCTGTTTATTGGAATCACAATCTTTAGATACAGATGTGATCACATTAAACAAACAGCAATATACTTTAATAAGGAAAGAAAAAACTCATAATTTCATAGTTTTTTCATGATAAAAAGAATGTGATAATTGAAGGGGTGCTTTATGGTCATTTTTAATCTTTGTTCCAGAATGAGATAAAGATCAATCAATTTATGAAAGCAACTATTAGTTGTATGTTGTGCTGTGAATTATTGTTCTGAAATAATTTGTTGTGCAAAGCCTCATTCTTAATTTCAACTGTTATGTTTCATTATATTTATATTAAGCTACTATGAAACTCTTTTTTTAAGCGGCAAATTGTTTTCTTTATTTGTTTGTACTTTGAGCAAAACTTTGTAGTTTACTTTAACCATTACAATTATACTAAAATACTCTTTAGGCAACAGATTGTTGTTCTTCGATTAATTATAAAATGTAGAGTAAAGCATTTACACAACACCCCTTTATGAGTCAGGGAGTTAAAGCACCACAATTTTTAAACAAAGACGTGATTGTGGTATAAGTAAAGCATTCACACAACAGCCCATTATGAATCAGGGAGTTAAGCCACCACAATTTTGTGACCAAAGACATGATCGTGGTAAAAGTAAAGCATTCACACAACAGCCACTTATGGGTCAGGGAGTTAAGGCACCACAATTTTTAAACAAAGATGTGGTTGTGGTATAAGTAAAGCATTCACACAACAACCCATTATGAATCAGGGAGTTAAGCCACCGCAATTTTGTGACCAAAGGCATGATTGTGGTAAAAGTAAAGCATTCACACAACAGCCCCTTATGGGTCAGGGAGTTAAGGCATCACAATTTTTAAACAAAGGCGTGATTGTGGTATAAGTAAAGCATTCACACAACAACCCATTATGAATCAGGGAGTTAAGCCACCACAATTTTGTGACCAACGACATGAATGTGGTCATGCCTTTAATAAATTATAAAATGTGCAAAACTTGAATATCAATTTCAACTGATCAGATTTTTTCCCAGAGATATTAAGAATGAAGAGTCTTTCTACACGTTAAGCTGACATTTAATGTCTAATCTGTATATAGTAGACAATATGCATAAATATTTGAACCAAAGAATGTTGTTTATTGATTCAGACCAGTTATTGTATGCATAATTTTTAGGGATTCCAGCTGATATATGATGCATACAATGGATTTTCTGGAATAACTGGACAATTTCTTCAACATTTAGATGATGAATACAAAAGACGGCCATCTTTATGTTTTCCTGTGTATCAAGATGACCTTGACATTCCTATTGATGTATGTAATTCAAATCTTTTTTTATGTATCAAGAAATCATTTTGAAATTTCACTCATTTAACTTACCCTTGTGTGTAACATAATTTATCTAGCTTATATGTTATAAAATTTTTCTTATATAGTTTATCCTTATGTGTTATGTCTCACATGTAGAATGTATGTTGTTTATACATTAGGTGTTATTATATCTTGTGTTAAATTTTTAAGTTTAACAAAGTTTCTATTTTGCTATTTTAAAAAATTTAAAGCATATTGAATTATGCACAAACTGAAAAAAAAATAGCAGTGTCTTAAAATGTAGTGTTTATTTAAATTTTTAATGATCATTTTGAATCCTCAAAGCAAGATTTTTTACAAGATGTAGGTATAAAGTTTAAATATGGGTTTTTAATTTTCTATTTATTTTTAATTTTATAAATAAAATTTTTACGAATTGCTTTTAGAATTTGACCCTTTATATCTCAACATCTCTGATTTTAATAAAAATTACTCATACATTAGAATACATCATTCTAAGCATGTAAAAAATAATAAAAAAAATTTACAACATAAAATAAAAAAAATTATTGGAAAAAAATTGATTTTTGCAACCTTATGCAAAATGATAAAAAAGTTCTTGTTGCATTCCTGCAACATTGTGAAAAATGGCACTAAGATTGAAAGATTCAAAAATTTTAATTCATATGAAAATTTTTAAAACAGTTGTTACTTTTCTTGTAACAAAGTCCTACACCACTTTTCTCACAAATAGTTTGTGTAAATCCTTTGCATTTTGGGTATTTGCATCTGATGATTTTGTTAGCCCAATTAAGCCAGTGCCCAATTTCATCTTGGCGCACTGGTTTTGGCCGACAATCGCCGAAATCGTCCTTCAAAATTTGTTGGGGGCAAAGACATAGGCTTTTTGTGTATGTTGCAGATAAGCAACAAGGTGATATAAAGGGTTAAATTTAATTATTGTTTCAATTTTTATGGCTTTAAATTTTCACGTTTTATGTTTAAATTATAATTTTTTATGTGAGAATTATAATTTGAATGTTTCAGTCTCCAAAAATTGTATCCCCAAAACGAGTCTAAAAACTAACTGTGCAACTCTTATTGTTGTATGTTTTTTAATTATTTTCCTTTTAAATGTGCTGTATTTTTTAGATGAAAATTATTTTACTCCAATGCAAACTGTGAATTATTCATGAAATTGATATTTGAAATGTTTTATTTCTTAACGAAACTCAAAACTGTGTACATCCTCCTTAAATTTTAGCTTTTCAACTTTTATTATTATTTTTTTTTCTGACTGTGCAAATAATTTTTCTTATGTTATATTTTGCTAGAAAAAATACTTTTATCATTGAATTGTACTTTACATCATTAAACAAAGCTCTAACTTGTAGGCAGATTTATCTTTGCTTTAAATGTGATTTATTATTTATAGTATAAATAATAAATCACATTTTTAGGTATCAAAGTATAATATACTGTGTTAGAAAATTATACTAAATGTATTTTTTTGCAGGATGTCAAGAAACAAAAGCATCGTCTCTACGCTATATTGCTGTCTATGAGTAACATGAATAGCTATTGTACTTTCTTTTCTCCGTTATCCTTGACTGATGATGTTGTGAATTTATCATATCCATATAGACAGTTGCCATGTGTTCAATATAATGTAATTGTTTTATTTTGTCTCTAAATTTTTATTTTTCTAATTTTTACTGTTTCTCTATTTTAATTATTACTTTCTAAATTTTTACCCTATTTTTTTACTATGTATCCATGCCTGTGTTAAAAAATGTATTTAAAATTTAATGTTCATATAGTAAAAATTATTCATATAGTGAAAATTAGCCTCGCTTTTGTTACTTTTTTGCCAAGATACTCGTGGTGTGTTGAATTTTGTATCATTTGTGGGAAATGTATAAACCTAGTTGAATTTCTATCACTCGTAGAATTTTTTTATTAAATTTATAAACCCTAATTTTTAATTTAGATGCCATGCCAAATACAAGTAGTGCTCTAAATCTACAGTATTTTCTAATCATTAAGTCATTATTTAACACTAATTAAAAAAATTTTAGTCTCTTTCTTCACTGTTTCTTCGAAAATGAACTGTGCTGAGCCCAGATTGTTCTGAAACTGAAAAATTTCGAGCTGGAAATTTATATGCGTGTAAAGCAGGAAATTGATATGCCATCATTTTATTTTGTATGAAGTTCTTATTGAAAAATATAGTAGAATGCATTTCTTCTTTTTAGAAAAATGATATAAAAGATATTTTATGTGAAAATCAGTTGCAAAATTTGCACTTATTGTCTTACTTAGATTCATTTTTGTTAGCTAGGCGTGAGCAAAAATTTGGCAAATAATTTAGACTTGCACTAAAAAAAAATTATTTTTTGCAAATAGAAGGGTTTTTAAAAGATTTGTTTTAAAAAGACTATTTATATGCCAACTCGTATTTGGCATTTATCATAGTTTAAACCTAATTTGATAATAATTAATTATTAAACTAGCTTATTGTTAATTAACAACCTATTTCAAGCTCATTTAGGATTATTTAACTTCTGATAAGTCATGCATATAACGGATTTAGACAAGTACCTCTTCTAATAGTTTTCCAAAACTTCTATTTCGTTTCTTTTCTTTAAATCCGAAAAACCTTTTTTTCATTAATTGAAAACTTTCGATGATTTAATAATTGAACAAAATTGATTCATGATTGTTTAAAAATTGCTTCATGTAAGTGATCTCTGTAAAGCCATTTAATGATTTTTTTAAAAAAATTGTTACAAGTAATCGCTACACATTTTTTCAATAGTATTGTTTATTTTGCATTAGAATTCATAAATTCTAACACGAATTCTAATCAATAATATTAAAAAAATGTGTATTAGTCTAAAAGTTTCTTTCAGCTACACATGTTTCAGATTAGTAAAGTGTGATTCAATATTTTTCTAACAATTTTTATTTTAAAGTTTTTTGTTTGTTATGAGAATGAGAATTTTTGTTAAATGAGAATGTAAAGCGTCATTTTTTAATTTTTTTTCTTGCTTTTTTCACAGCTTCATTTTTACAGAACTTAAAATACAAAGTTATATTATATGCAAAAAAAAACTTTATTTATTGAAGGAAAAACTGTTGTATCACACAAGTGCGATATTTGCTGCTGCTATTGAAACCCTGTCTTCTCCTTTTCGCCTCAGGTCTGGGAAACATAATATGTATGATGCAACAAATTCCATGGCAACATATGGAAGAAAGGTACTACTTTTTAATCAATCCGAACTATATATATATATTTAAAATGTATGAACATATGTATAATGTAACCAATTCCATGGTAACTTATAAGAAAGGTTACAATATTTTAATTACATTAATTTGCAAATTTTTTTACAAGCAGAATGTGTATATTACAACCAACTCCATTGCAGCATGCGGAAGTTATTGCTTTTTAATCACTTCAATATGTATATCTTTTTAATTGTTTCAGTATGCATATTTTTTTAAGGAAAAAAAAATGATATGTGTAACTTGCTACTTTTAATGTTCTTTTTACTACAATACAGCCAATTCCATGACAACATATGAAAGAAAAGTAATACTTCTAATCACTCTAAAAATGCCTTCATTTCGACTTGAATATCAAGATGTGAGTTATTATTTGAATGTTTAATGTTTTATATTTTTCTTGTTTTACAGTTAGTTTCTTCTAGTGTTTCTTTGCCATTTCCTCTTGGTCACGATACCTATTTGAGTTCCATGGTTGAAACAGATGTTCCTGAATACTATATGACATCACTTTCACCATACTATAAGACAGAATGTGAAAGAACAATAATCCAGTCAGCAGTTCTAAGAGGAGTACCAGCTGATAAATTCCAGAAGTATTTAACTTTATTTTTAAATCTTTTAAATTGGCGAAGAAAATAAGAATTTGAATATTTATTAGCACTTCTAAACACACAATTTGCATGGTTGTGTTTTTGTTTTACACAGTTTTTCAGAATCTATATTTTTGTTTTGTTCTGTTGTTGTTTTCCAACCACATATTTTTCTACTGTCCCTTTTATAAATATTTAACTATCGGATGAAGGAAGACGCATTTTTACTTGAAATGTTTATGTAAATGGTGTCTTAAAAAGAGATAATAAACATTTTTTTGATTAAAATACTTCATTAGCTTCAAAAATATGCAGATGGAAATAGAAGTCCACATGTTTAAAGTGCTAAAAAATATATGCCGATTCTCAAGACTTGCTAGACGCTGTATTCACGTCTGGCGAGTCTAGCCTTTCTTTTCTTTAAGTTTTTCTCTTTTTAGAATGATTTCTAAAAACAACCTTGTTAAACTGTAAGGTTATGGGAAATGGATCATTCAGCAAAAAGGTTCGTGAAAAAAAGTATATACAAATATATAACATGCTCATTTACAGAGTGTGTTGCCAGTTGGCTATGCTCAATATTTTTGGAGGGAGAATTTTCCTCATAGCTGTATGAGCTTCATAAAATATTTATTGTGAAGGTAAATGCTGGCGTAATATTCTCAAAAGGCTGATTTTATCCTGGGCATACACAAGTAAAGACAGGTCTAAACTACATTTTGCTATGATTCATAATATAACTATTCATTTCATAATTTTATTTTTATAAAATTCCAAGCAGTTGTTCTTTTCTAAAGTTTGTATTTGATTTTTTAAAGGATTTTGTTCCATGGTTTCTTCAGGGTTTAGAAATTCCGGGAAACTTAAAATTGTCTGAAATGTTGATTTTAATGCAAATAAATAAGTTGAATCTGGAAAAATCCAGCAATAAACCTAGAAATGAATCCATTTTAAAATTCCCAGTTGGAATAAGTAGCAAATAATGAGTATAAATATAAGTAGCAAATAATGAGCATTTATATTCTTGTGAAATCAAGCACTTATGAAATTTATTTCTTGTGAAAATTCCAATGCAATTAAACTAAAATGATCTGACATTTATTATACAAGATAATATAAATTTGTACAAAATATGTTAATTTCTATTTTCAAAATTTTCAACAAGCATACTGCACATTTCGGAATGTAAGCCTATTCATGTATGAGCTGACTGGTTGCTTTTTTTTCTTGAAAATTTTCCAAGATTTACAAAATCGCTATATAAGCTGACATACAAAAATAAGACCTACAATCTCTCTGGGTAACTTTCAATTTCTTTGTTCTGCCCAGCCATTCTAGTTTATTTATTTACCTTTGTTCAGACATAAAAACCCACTGAAGGGTTCACAAATTATTTCCTCCTTTTTATGTTTTCTCAATCTTTTCTTTTAAAACTTTTTTAACTTATCAGTCAAGATTGCCATCCTCAGCAGGTTAACGTGCTAAAACCCAAGTAAATCGGAGACTAACAGAGAGAGCTAGGAAAATTCTAAAGCTAGCATGTTTAACTTTTCCTTTTTTTTGTTTGTTTGCTGTTTTATGAGGAAGAATGAGCAGTAAAAAACAATCTTATTATATATAGCCTTGTTGTATATGGCAAAAAGGTGGATTGGAATCTAATTAACATTTTCTCAAAGGAGCCAGTTTATTTTAGCTCTAAAATTGCATAGAACCCCAGGATTCCTTTATTTTGCAAAAATTTCCATTTTGGCATTCATTATTTAGCTCTCTTGTGTGTTACTGGAATACTATGTTTCATATTTTATACTTGTATGTGTTGATAAGTGCATTTGTGTATTCATAATATGTGTGTTCACATGTGAAGATAACATATTCAGGGTATCCGCGCACCTGGAAAGTCATAAAAAATCATGGAAAGTCATAAATTTCGGTATTGAACAAAATTTGTCATGAAATGTCATGATTTTAACTATTTTTTTAAAAAAAAATCATGGAAAGTCATGGATTTGGGTCGCCAAAAAATTTCATATTTAAAATGGAATTCCACTCCCCCAATTTCATGGTGTTAAAAAAATCTGAATTTGTAATAAAATCCCCACTCAGAGTCATATTTTATTAAAATATAAAAAGTTTTTATCATGTTCTTTAAAAATTATGGTGTTTTTTCAGAAATGAAATGGATCCTTTATTAGAAACTAATTGCCAAGAACATTGAAAATGAGTGGTTAAAATGTAAAGTACTTTTCAAACTGGGTAACTGGAAGACAAAAGCCACTTTTGAACCCCTTTGAGTTATTCTAAAAATAAAGAAATTTTTTTTTTGAAGGTGGGAAAAAACATTGTCCTTCAATAATTTGTTTAATTGTACTATCTGGTGAATTGATGTTCCGATAATTGAGGTTCTACTGTATGTGTATTCACTTGTATAGGTAACACCTACATTATAAATTTAAGAATATTCAAAATCATGGAAAATATTTTCTTGAGTTGACAAAAGAAGGGTTATAATATCTAGAAGTGTAAATGATAAACGGTCTCATATTGTTCTAAGCTTTTAAAAAAATTACTCATAACACTTTTATGTTCTGGACATGTTTCTAAAATATGACTCCATACAGCTTAATATTGTTATTGTACCAGCAAAAATTTTTAAAATAAATTAGAGTCTGCTAAAGTTATTTGTATCTATCTAGCTGAAGGAATTGAGTTTTTTCTATTAGTCAGGGAAGAAAATCAGAGTATTTTCTAGAATATATGCTTAAAGTATGTTCAAATAATATTGCAAATTAAGTATACCTCACATTCTAAGTTTAAACTCTAATTTTGTAGTTTGGCATTTGGTTTTTATGTTTGATGTTCTTGAAAAAATATTCTAATTGTAAATCTTCATTGTATAATGAATATTCTTATTGAGTTTTTTTTATTTTTTATTTAGACCTGGTAAATATTATCATTCTCCAGATAATAAAGAAATTTTTGGTGAATACTTGAACAAATATTCTCCTAGCTCTGTGACGTAAGTTTTACACTTAATTCTTTTTTAAGTTTTATTATTTTTGTAAAGGAATCAGTTTTTCTCAAATTTTATTATTTTTTAAGAATACTTGTTTAATGAGCATAATTATTGAAATGAACACTTATTTAGTATGGCTCAATGAGATTCTGAGAATTTTTTTGATTGTATCATACTGGAAAAAGATACTGCCTACTCTCACACATTTTTTTTTACTATAATGAACAGTTTATATTTTGAACAGTATATATTTACGGTTTCCAGTTCATATTTTGTATCTATATACTGTAGATAAGGTAAATATATAGAAAGTAGATAATAGAGGTGAAATATAATGCATAGTTCTACAATTGTCTAAAAATTTCAAATGTAATGGACAAATTTTGCTATTTTCCTATGTATAATTTTTTTAAATATTAAATTGTAATAATTTAGTTAATTTGAAAAATTCAAAAATTTTTTTTAACGATCTTTCTTTTCTTTTGAATGATCTTTTCTGGTGAACTCAACGTTTATAGGTAGTACTTTTTTCTGTTTTTGTCTTCCTTCTTTAAATATCTTGTTTAGGTTTGTATCTCTTTTTTTATTAAATAAATCACTCTATTCCTTATTGCAATGTGTTTCTTCTTCTTATTTCAAGGCACTACAGCCTGTCGCTGGCCAAAGCCATCCCAATTAGTTTATTCATCTGATTCTATCTGCACCAAGGCTCTTCCGGTTTCCCTTATTTATGACATTAAAGTCCTTCTCCACCGACTCAAATGCCTAATTAGTAGTCTTTCTCATTTTCTGTTTCGCGTGAGATTAGTAAATGTGAGCTTTTTTGCCAGATTTTTATCATCAGATCTGAATAGATGTCCAGTCCATTGTAGTCTGTTGAATTTTTTAGGTCTTGAACAATATCAGACTGCTTGTACTTTTTGTAAATTTCAAAGTTAAACAAGGATCTCCAGCTCTCATTTGCAAAGACTACACCAAATATTTTTGCGTACCAAGGTTAATTTATTTTCATGTAATTTGGCTATTGACCTGCATTCACTCCCATAAAGCAGAATAATGTTGAATTAGTGTTTTATCTATGTAATTTTAAGGCGAAATTTTAGTTGGTTTTTGAGATCGGGATTGCATTTATTTGTCATAGCAAGCCTGTTGTTTATCTCAACAATCAAATCTTTGTTAGTACTGACGATGGTTCCAAGATATTTGAAATATAAAATTCTTTCAAAAGTGTAATTCTTCATTGTAAGTGGCCGATGATTAGCAGAAATCTTTATGAATTTTGCAACACGTTTCTATATTATTTTTCTTTTGGCATTTTGTGTTGAGACACTGAGGAAGGTTCGTGTTTTTAAAATCGAAACTATATTTATGCTTTATTCACATTCTTTTGCTTTATTCTAAGCGTTATTGCTTATAATTATTAAATAAAGGACTTTCAATAAATTATCAGTGTAGATTTATTATTTTCCCTGTTTATAGAAGAATTTATAATATAGCGGAATTAACAGGAGTAAGTAAAAATATTATCGAACCAGTATTTACAAACAATAGACACAAATTTTTACACAAATCGACGATGTGTAAAGAAAAATGTCAAAATACTAGTGTAAATTCATACTATCCAATCTTAAGTCAATAATTTTTATTAAAAGGAAACCGATAAAAAAGGAATTACAACAACTCAAAAGCAACTCAGGATTATAAATGCTAAAATGCTTAGGACTTTATATTGCATCATGCTATCAATATAATTTTACTGAAGTAAATTAAATGTGATGGAGATTCTAATATGGGAAGTATACTATTCAATTCTGTACTGACTGACCAGTTCCTTTTATTGTTGTTGTCCTAAAGTTAAAAGAAACTTTGAAAAAAGTGTCAAGATGCTGAAATGGATTGTCTTCATTATTATCGTTTATGGTAGCAAGTAATTGCAGGCCTGTTAATTGTTAATTTACAATAAAAAAGGGAAACCATTGAAGTTTCAAATAAATTGGAATTGAAACATATTAATGTTTGTTTTGAAAACTTTTGTTTATTGGCTAAATATTTATTATTTTTTTCTTATGATCAAATACATGCATTTTATTATGTATTTCTATTATGTCAAAATACGTAATAAAAAAAATTTGTTTTCCCATCTTATAGGACTGCCACCATTTTAGAGGAAAAATGCAGTGTTGCTTTCCCATTTCCTAAAATCTTTAAAAACATAGTTAGTGACTCTGGTTTTCTAAATTCAGCTGTTAGTGATTGCAGTAAAGGTGGGTTATTTATTTCATCTATTTCAACAATTCTCTTAAGATTTAATTATTTAAAAAAAATTTATGAATGATAATACAAAATGAAGAATAAAACAAAGAAAAATTAAAGACATGTGAAAAAGGGGGAAATAATAAGTAAAAAAATAACAAACAACAGTTAAAAAAAATAATAATATTTTGTAATCTGGGAATCTTTCTGCGAAAACATTATTAAATCATTCTTGAAAAATTTCCGTCCATGTAAGTTGATCTGATTTCGCTACTCGCTTTATAGTCACATTTTACTGTTTTTTCTTTTTCTTTTATTTTATTTTCTGTTTTTACATGTTATTTTTACTTATTTTTACTTTTTGTGTTCTATTTTGTTTGTTGTAATTTTTATAAAAATTTTTTGAGTGCTCCTCACACTATTGTATTAATATATTTTGCTTTGACTTTATTGATACAATATCAGAAAGCACTCTGTTTTATGGATATAATCGTGTGGGCTGATGAGAAGATTATATCTTTTTTTTCCGGTTTTTTAAATAAAATTTCTCTTTTTTTTTTTTAACTGTTTGTTATTTTTTTACTTATTATTTCCCCCTTTTTCATATGTCTTTAATTTTTCNTATATTTGTATATATATATATATATATATATATATATGTTATTAAAATATGTGGAAAGTAGAAACTCAAGGACATAAAGCTTTAAACCACATTTAAATATATATTTTGGCATTCAATGAATTTTGAAAAAAAAATTATGTTGTCAACAACAATCTTTTATGTAAAAAACTGTTACACCATCAGAACCATTTTAAAGAGAAATTTACATTCTTATGGCAGAAATTTCAATTACCTTCTCAAAAATAAATCACTCAGTACAAACTATAAATAACACTCAAAGAGTTTCAATACTTTGGTTTAAAAAAAAATCTTTGAAGGTAGAATACACATTTATTTCTGAAATTTCAAATTGCTGCATCTTTTCCTTTCCAATAATTGACCATTGAGTGCAGCAATTGACCATTGACTGTAATTACCACTCCATCCCTTCAAATATTTTCTTTAAAATGACTTTGAATGTACATTAAATATTTTTCATTTTAAATTTTAGATGCCAATGTCAACTCTTTATGAGTGTATAATATTCTCTGAAAAAACCATAAATTCTTGTTAGAGCAAATTTATAGTTTTTAATTGTGAAAATCACAACTGAAAAGACATGATTCTTTAAAATTTTTATAATCTTTTAAAATTTTAAATTATATTTGTAAAAATATATAATTATTTTTTTAATGGCAGGCTCTGAACTTTTTGTTCTTTGTCATGGTAGATGCCGGAGGTGTTGCTCATGTTTTGTTGCCTGGTGAGCACCTTGTGACCAAAGTCACTGGGGCGAGCAACATTACCCACGCCACACCCCTACAGATACCCGTTGGCCTCTACACCTCCACAGATACCATAGGGTGGGCCACATTCACACATCACGCGATAAAGGACAACACACAGAGAGAAACATCCTTGTCCTGAGTGGAATTCAAACTTGCAGTCTTTGACCTTACAGTCAGACACGCTGACCTCTCGACCAACTGGCCGGCAAAAAAAAAAACTAGTCTAAATATGAATGACCAAATGGGCCAAATCCAATCTGCTCAAGGGATAAATGTGGCCCCATAAATGATCATTGAGCATCCCTTATCAGAATTAAAATAAAATTGAGCTTCAACATTCTAAAAAAGGGAAGAGTCTTTAAATGTAGAATGAATGGCATTGTCAACTCCTTATTAGTATGTGATATTCAAAGAGAAACAATAGAACAATATTGTTGTAAAAGAAATATTTAAGTTAAACAGATGAAATGTTTGATTTTTAATTGTGGAACTAACAATCTAATAAAAAAGCAGGTTATTAAAAAAATTAAAAAACATTGTTTAAAAATTTTATATGATATTTGTGAAAATGTAAAATAGAGAAGAACAACTTGCTGCCAAAGGGTCAAATGTATGGAATGGTCAATGTGCAATTTCTGCCAAAAATTATTAAGGAAAAAATAATGCATAGCATAAGGATTTTAAAACAGTTTCTCAAACTAACTTAAATTAACTTATAAAAAAAACTGTGTAGTTGATGAAATCCTTTTTTTTTTTTAAATAAAAATTCTTTTTAACCAAAAAGTGTTTTTGGGCAGTTTAATTTAAAGGTTCATTTAAATATTAAAGATAAAGTAATTTATCTACAGTCAAAAAATTATGAAGTTAATTCAATTTAAAAAAGATGGAAAACTCATATGATTTAATAAATAATTTTTTTAACTATGACAAAGTGTAAAACTTCAAAGTTTTGTAATTCCTAACTATTAGTCATGTATTTTGTAAACATTATTTATGTTTTCTTGTATTTAATGATTTAATTCTTTAAGCAAATCAATTTTATTCTTAATCTTACCACACTCATTATCATTTGTCATAAAAACTGAATTCATTGTGACTTTCCAAAGCTAGATGTTTTATGTGGTCTTTTTATGATAAAGCTTGGGTGCTCCTTATGTGAATTGTACAAATTGTACATTTTTCAAACTGTGTCGAATTGTTAATTTCTTAATATGTTATTATATTTTGCTAAATTTATTTTTTAAAAAAGATTTAAATGAAGAACTAAATGTCAATTATTAGTGATAACTTAAAAGATTTGTATGATGCAATTCTATAAACCACAATTCTCTATAAACCACATTAACTTTCTGGTGTAAACAATGAAAGTTACAGTTAAGAAACTTCTGTTACTAAGCAAGAACTATTGACGTTTTACATTGTTTGTTAAATGATTTACTGAGAGGTTACAAAGAGGTTCAAAAGCTAAGCAAACCAAAATTAATAATTAATTTTTATTAATTCTAATGTTCTAGAAAACTTCAATTTTTTTTCTGTGAATAATGAATACTACTTGAATTTTTAGGTATCTGTATTAAAAAATAAATTTAAGGCATTTTAAGATTGATTTGCTCCAAATTAATATCGCCAGTTTGCGTTATAAAGATCTTCTACTGTATTATATCTTTTGGCATGACTTGATGATCATTATTCTATGTTGTAGGTGCTGATAAAATACCATTAGCAGCTTCTTTCAGCAGTTCTGATAGTGCATCTCAGTTCCTGGAAGATGTATTATCCCAAGCCAATAAGAACAGTTTTAAAGAATACATAAAGTGTTCTGAATCATCATTCGATAGAGATAGTTATCGTGAAGTGATAGAAAATTTGATAGGCTTACAAGATAATTACACAAACTATTAATAATTTTTATTAAAATAGCCTCATTCATTTGTATAATAAGAGTTTATCTGTTGTAACCATTGAATGTGATATCTTTTGTTTAATTATGGGTTTGTCTAATATTTTTTAATGCTATACTTAAATCATCATTTTGTATTATAAACATTTTGCCACTCAGAATTAAAAATGCTTCTTGGTTATTCTTTGTACCATTTTGTTAATGAGTTTTTGTTAAAATATGGAATGACAGAACCAAATGTAACTTCATTTTCAGTGAAAATTTTATTCATGACAGTGATTTTATTTGTAATAGCAAAATAAAGCATTTGTTTCCCATAAACGGATGAAATTCTTTTTCTCTTTAAAAGTTTTTACATTGAAATTGTTTTAGTTTACTACAGTTGTTTTACTTTACTATGACTACATCTTATGAAATATTGTAAAAAAAAAATTCCATCGGAGAAATTACCAAATTACTGTTTTTTACCTTTATAATTTTTACTTTTTTTAAAAAAATGTTTCATCTTTTTTTATTTTTGATACATTTTTTTACAATTATCTAAATTTTTCCCATGTTTACACTCATTCTCGGGGAAAAATTGAAATGCAGGAAACTTTTGGGGGAATCTCAGAGTAGATAAAAATTATGCCTAATTTTTGTCTGGAAAAAGATTTCCTGAAAAAATATTTTTAATTCTTTTCCTAAGAAAATTAAAAAAAAAAAAATAGTAACCACTAGATTAGTTTTTAAGACTGAACCAGATACAATATGTGTTTCATTCATAGTGATATTAAATGCTTATTCTTTCGTTTTTTCACCAATGTGTTTTGTTTACCAAGGCTATTACCATTTTCTATTAACTGATATGCTGCATTATTGTGTACACTACAAACTGTTGTTTTGGAGTCTCTGAAAAAGCTCACAAAGTTTTTTCTTCTAGAAATTGAATATGAACCCAACTTTATTTTATTCGTAATTTTAACTTTTATACATTTTGACTGCAGAGTATTAAGAATATATATATATATAAAATCTATATAATATATTATTTTGTATTTTAATATTTATCTAATAACTTTTACTTTTAATATTCTAATATTTTTTTATTGTCAAAGTGAGTTTATTACTTCTTTAAGCTAAAAAAATTCTTCTGGACTTAAGTATGATTTGACATTCCTATAAATTTATTTATTCAATTGGACTCTTTCCAACTAATTATCGGTGAAATATTGTATTTATTTTCCCAAAGAAAAAAATTAACATATTTTTATAATTTTATATTCCTTAATTTAGAATGTTTTTTATTAGAAGTTCTTAAAAGAAAAAAATTATTTTATTTCTCCTTTAACGATAGAACAACCTGAGTGGTAATTTTGTCTGCAAATCGTCGTTGAGGAATGTTAAGTCCTAAAATAATTATAATAGCTAACTTCTTTTCTTCAACTTTTGAGATCTTCAAAAGCAGTAGAAGAAAATTTTATTAGGATTAACTGATAAATTGAAGTCCTACTTAGAACGATCATAGATCACTATAGAGATTTGAGTGTATTTCTCGGACCTGCCACATTCTTTGGCTTACATTGCTTATCTTTATTTTATTCGCACACACGCTTGTCTAGATTGACACAGTGCAAGATTTTTTTTGTTCACTAAGGAGATCAATCTCCTGCTCGTTACTGCTCACCAACCTCCTGGAATGAAGTTCTTTTCATATGGCTTTGAGATATGAGCACAAAAACGGCTTCGGCAAATTCGTACTTCCATTCAAGAAATGATAAAGATTGTGTAAAATTATTTATAATTTATAGCTGGAGAAACTAATAAAAATCAATAAACAGCTGTTGCTGTCTAAAGCAGGTTTAAAATTCATTCAATGCATGGAAAATTACCCTGAGAAATTTTTATTAAATCTCTGGCTTTCTATGGAACTTGACAGCTACAATTTTTCAATTGTTTGATGCATCTAGGAAAAGATGAAGACAGAAGTATGCAGCCTGGTGAATATGTTGTTAGGAAATTTATTGATCCGTTTCTTTGTAAGGGAAGAAAATTCACAACGAAAATTTTTTTAAGGGCAAAAAAGATTTTTTATTGTTGTTAAAATACGGCTAAATTGAAGACTATTTCCTCAAATAGCAAGCCACAATTATCATATATTTTTCTTTAAATAATTTAGTATTGGATCAAGCATTATTACTATAAACTAATGTAAACCAAAAAAAATATTTACATCTTGAGTACTATACCTAACTAAGGAAGAATTTATTTACTTTATAACCCTAAATATCTTTTAGAAAGATAAGTTTATTTGGTAAATTTCAATTCAGTAGATGTGTTCTATCAAATAAGTCATGACAAAACAGTTTCCAGAGTATGGCCAATTAACTTTTTTTCTTATCAGATATGTCCGCATCATGAGTATTATACCTAACTGAGGAAGAGTTTATATAGTTTATAACCCTGAATATCTTTTGGAAAGATAAGTTTATTTAGTAAATTTAAATTCAGTCAATCGTTGATGTGTTCTATCAAATAAGCCGATTGTATATGACACAAGCGGTTTCCAGAATACATCCAGTTAGCCTTCTTTCCTTTCAGATATGAATTAAAGCGTATTTCCTGAAAATAAAGCTAACTGTTTCATAGAATTAAAAAAATACCATTTAAAGTACAGTAGAATGTTAGAAATAATAAAAATAACTTTTTGTAATGATATTAGAATTCAAAATCAAATATGTTTTCAAAATCAGAAATGTTGGTCGTGCTAGTTTTAATAAAAAATTTTCTTTCTTGAAGTTTTAACTATTTTTTTATCATTTATTTTATTGATGAAATTGACTTTCATTAACTATCAGTTCAAATTAATATTTGTTTTCTTATTTAAAGAAAAAAAAATATTTTTATTAAACTTTTTATCGTTTCTTACATTTTGTTTTAATAATTGTTTTTGAATGTAAGAGGAAATATTTAATTTTTAAATGAAATATTCTTTATATACTGTCTTCATTCTGCAAAAAGTGTCGCACGTAAGCTTTAAATTTGAAGCTTTTCATTAATTCAACAATGTATTAAAGAAATTGACTTTTTTTCGATGATATATTTTATTTAACTCAGTATTTTTAAAAACTTTATTTATGATTTATGCTGTTATTTTTTAAATTAACAACCGTGTTAGCACTACATGACTTAATTTTATTTATCTATTTCTAAATGCAATTAAATATACATGAAAACATGCATTTCACGGGTCTAAAGGCTGTGTGTATTCTGATCTTCTGTTCCTTTTTTTTATAAGGTAGTACACTAAACCTATCAAGAAGATTATAAATAGTGTAACTCCTATAACAATAATGGCTACTATTCCTGCAGGCATGGGTGGTTTAGGTGTTGGAGAAATCGTAGTCCCTTCTTCTGTAGAAGTAGGCTGTTCTGTAGTAGTAGGCTGTTCTGTAGTAGTAGGCTGTTCTGTAGAAGAGCTTTCGGTTGTGGGGAGTGAGCTAACGGTTGAAGATATTGGCTTTTCTGTAGTAGTAGACTGTTCTGTAGAAGAACCTTTGCTAGTGGGGGATGAGCTAACAGTTGAAGATATTGGCTTTTCTGTAGTAGTAGGCTGTTCTGTAGAAGAACCTTTGCTAGTGGGGGATGAGCTAACGGTTGAAGATATTGGCTTTTCTGTAGTAGTAGGCTGTTCTGTAGAAGAACCTTCGCTAGTGGGGGATGAGCTAACTGTTGAAGATATTGGCTTTTCCGTAGAAGAACCTTCCGTTGTAGAAGATGAGATAACGGTTGAAGATTTTGGCTTTTCTGTAGAACTTTTTATAGTGGGAGATGAGCTGTCGGTTGAAGAAGCTGGCCGTTCAGAAGAAGAATCCTCAGTTGCAGTTGAGTTATCTGTTGTAAAAGCTGTCCCATCTGTAATTGAATCCTTTGTTGCAGTTGAGTCTTCTTTTGTAGAAGTTGGCTCATCTGTAGGCAAATCTTTTGTGGAATATGAAGTATTTGTAGAAATTTTAGGTAATGGTGTTTCTGTAGAATCAGCTGTGTTAGTGGACAGAGAAACGCCTGTTTTTTCCAATCTTTCATCAGTGGAGTCATCTAATTGCAACTGACTTCGGTAATCATCATACAAGATGTTCAAGAAATTTTCTTCTCTGTAATCGTTCGGAAGAGACCCTTGATCTGAATCTGTTGAGAAAAAAAATTTAAATTTGTACTTCTCTCTCTCTCTTTTTAAATGTCTTAGTTAATTCTAAGAGTTACTGGCAGTGATTCGCCAATCAAAACAACAAATATATTGTTATTATACAAAATGTACATGTTTTAAAATATCTTTAATACTAGATTATTCTATTTTTCTTACTAAATTTAGTGGTACATAATTGAATTTCTGAAATATATTTCAATTATTATTTTTGAAGTTAAAGACATGGAAACTGACTGATGTAAATGGTACCTATGTCAGTTACCATCGTTTTTTTAAAAATATATTTTTTTAAAAGCCCAGTTCTGAAAGCCGGACTTTTTCGGGTTTTTTTTTCCTCAGAAATATTTTAAATTTTTATTCCTGGGTCCTAATTGAGATTGCAGAAAAATGTTTGTTTATTTCAAGTTAAATGTTTTGGTAACGATTTATCACTTCTGTTGCAATGTAACCAATTTTCGGTAGATTTTATATTGCAACGCTATTATTTTTATTTCTAATAGTAAATAGATTGTTACACAAAATTTTGAAAATTTTTGCGATTGACAAAAAATCCCAAATCTTCAATTGCATTAACACAGATTTAATTCCAGAATCTATAGGGATAAAATTTTAACTTTATCATTTTGCTCGGTTATCAATGCAGCTTAATACAGAAATTTGTTTTTTAAATTTCTACTAAACTTTGGTTACAATAAAATTAGTTAAATGTTTTGCGCCAAATAGATAATCTAGTAATATTGTACAAATATCTAATAACAGTTTTGTATTCATTATTTCATATTTTAAATTGAAATAATTAAAAAAATTTATGTTATTTATTATTTTTTTAACTGTTATAAATATTGCTTATAAAAAGTAAATTATAACTTATTTAATGTTTAATAATTGCAGAGCGGTTTGGATGTGAATCCTTTACCATATGTTCCTCATAAAATATTATGTAATAAGTTAATATTACAGGATTACTTTATAATAAAAGAATATTTAGTTTAAAGCAGGGTTCCCTTTTTGTCCTAATAGTCCTGTAATATGTATAGTTGCATTATTCTATGTGCTTTTGTTTTTGAAATCCTTTTTCAAAATTATTTAATTGAGAAAGTTTTGAACACGATTACAAATTTAAAATAATGTGAAAGAATATTGCCTAAGTGATAGTGGTTATTTTTTTAATGCAACAATACTATTAAAAATTTCGATAGACCTCAAACTGTTATCAGGGCCCGCGCTAAGCATTAGCCACTTCGCTAAGTGCGATAAAATCGTAAATTCGGCGAATAAAATTGTGTTTTGGCGAATAATTTTTTCCACTCGAAAAAATTATTCGATCGTCAAAATGAATTTTTCTAAACTAATCAGTATGAGCCGCGATGGCTCAGGGGATAGAGCGTTCGCCTTTCAATTAGATGAACCGGGGTTCGATCCCGGCGATGGCTGGTCGATAGAATTCCGCATCCAGCTAGCATCGACCACTGTGCTGACGTGAAATATCCTCAGTGGTAAACGGATCATGGGTTAGAGTACCCTTGCCGTCAGGCTAACCGTGGGAGGTTCTCGTGGCCTTCCTCTCCATGTAGCGCAAATGTGGGTTAGTTTCATCAAAAAGTCCTCCACGAAGGCAAATTTCTCCCAATACTCGATCCAGGAGTTCCCTTGTCTTCTGGATTGGGGTTCAAAATTACAAGGCTACGGAGTTGAACATTAATAGTCGTAAACACAAAAATTGGGTCGGCTGTTCAACGACGGTTATAAAATAAAATAAAACTAATCAGTATTTTTTATTCGAGTACAGTAATTTTCGGTAGATGCGACGCATAACCGATTAGAATTAGGTTCAAATAATATAAGCCTGAAACAAACTACTTTCTATGGGAAAAGAATTAATCTTAAAAAATTGTTAAGATTTGCTTTTGGCAAAGACTTTTCGAAAATTGACGAATACTTTTGATATTTGGATAGTTTACTGGCTAATAATTTGAAATCCTTAACGCGAGCCCTGGTTTTGAGTTGTTTAGTGCTCCATTTATAAAATAAAACGAAAATGTTGAAACATTTTGTTCTAAGTAATTCTGAAATTAAAAGGTAGTATTTTCGATAAGATTTCGTTTCTTATACCTAAGTAATGCAAATTATATATTAAAAAAAAAAAAAAAAAAAAAAAAAAAAAAAAAAAAAAANAAAAAAAAAAAAAAAAAAAAAAAAAAAAAAAAAAAAAAACATAAAACTAACTAAAAGTTTGTTATTTACCCTTTTTAAAGGTACAGGGGTTGAACAAAATAATCGAAACACTTCTATAGTGACTCATTTTTTTCTCCTTCTCCGATTTCTCAAGAAATACCTATTCATACGATTTCTCCTGATCATCAATAAAGTTTTTAGAGGTTTGAGAGACTTGCTATAAATTACGAATGGAATCTTTTTGAACACCCTATGCAAAAAATTACAGCTGTAAACTGGTATTGCATTTTTTAAACCATAAATTTTTTTTGAATAAAAATCTTGATTGCAACGATTTTTTGTATTTAACTAATTCTAAAGAAAAAAAAGTGGAACAATTATGGAGATTGAAGATTAATTAGTAGGGCCACATAGGGATAGGATTTAATTTTATGTGACACCGTTAACTAAAATCTTATGTAAGAATTCGAACATAACTTTTTTAGAATTAATTCTTTTAATGTACCCTTATGCATGAACCATTTAAATAATAGAAAAGCGAAAATCATTTGACCTTTGTTACCCAAAAAGTGTCTTGATGTATGAAGTAAGCATCCAGATGAGTAGATCTTTTTATTAAAATCTGATTCAAAGAATACTGATATGGAAATATTGTTCCACATTATTTATTGTTCCTGTTTATCAGGGTGTGTAGCCTAATTTTTCAGCAAAAAATAAGCACTCGAAAATATTTTTAAGCACTTTGAAAAATATCATAATTAGACAGGGTTGGCAAGTTTTTGACAATTGATGGTTTTATCCAATTTTATTTACAGTGACGAAGACGATGGTGAGTCACAAACGATGAAATTAACAAGAGAAATGAAAATTTTTTTATCGCAAATATAGAAAAAAAAAAATTGAGAATGTTTAGTTGGTCCCCGTAATCAACAAAAATTCGAGAGATTTTTCGATTCTATAACAGAGTGCGGAAAATGAAGCCTGAAATTGAGAATCTCTTGCAAAATGCACCAGGGTTGCAGATTAGAGTCAAAAATCCTTGACACTGAATCCAGCTCCGTTTACGCAAGTGCGGACCCTCAAGTATTTAATCAAACATGTAAAACAAATGGTGTTTTCATACACTACAGACCGGCGGTTCGCCGAAATAGATTGGGGTTGAATTAATTGTGAAAACGTTGAATAGGACAATGTCTTTTTGCATAATTTGTGGCGAAAATCAACATGGTAAAGAAAAATATCACATTTCGGAAAAGGGAAAATTAAGCACTTTTTAAAAACAAGGGCTTTTAAAAAACGAAAATAAGCACCTTTAAGCACTTTTAAAAAACGCTACGCACCCTGTTTATTTACTCCTAACTGGGAATAATCCATTGTGCAGCTCTAGTATGACGTAAATAAAATATCTACTCCTAACTCGGCTACAATACAGAGTAGAGAAAAAAAGTAGTGAAGTGTTTTTAAAAATTAAAATACAACTGATAAAAGCCCCAATCTACTAAGATAGTTATAAATGAGGCATTAGGTAGTAAAATGGTGCCTGCGTTAATTTCTAATTTTTATTCAATATTACTGATTTAAATATTTTAAACTTATGCACGGTGTTTTGTTAAGACCGCCTTTAATATGTATATTTCTAGAATTTTCAAAAAATGAAGACAGAAAAGTTTACACATTTAGAGTGGCAAATTAATATTTGGACGAAGAAAGTAAAAAACGCTTTTGAAATCTCACAAATCACCATAAAGGAAGGTGAGTGTACAGAACATCAAAATCTGATTGTATGAGGAAATGAAAAAAAACAGAAAAAGGGCGATGATTAGAAACAACTTCTAAGTATCATCAGACAATCAGTTTTGATATTCCACACACACTTTTATTTAGTGATTTGTTAGAATTAGAAAGTATTTTTGTTTGGGTTATTTAACACGATTACATAATTTCAGTTAAGATGAAATGTGTGGGCAGCTTTACTACTTCACCGCGTCTACCTTATGCAAATTTAGATGTTAAACCCCAAATTTCAGTTTTGATAGGGTAAAACAAATTATAACTATCGCTTATTTTTTTGTCTTAAAAAAATTATTTGCTCCGAAAAATTGCTTGCCTACTCGAAACTTATCAATAGCACTGGGGGGAATAAATTCTTCTTTGTTTTCTGTTACAAGAGATTTTTGAAAAGATCTTAGATATTTTCAAAAATCTCTGTTACGTCGCTGTTTTCAAATCTGCAATCGGTTTCTCTCTAACAAGCACTTATCATAATCATTTTCATAAAATCCGAGAAATAAAAAGATTTTTAAGTCAAAAAAGGAGTCTGTTACGTCGCCGTTTTCAAATCTGCAATCGGTTTCACTCTACAAGCACTTATCATAATCGTTTTCAGAAAATCCGAGAAATAAAAAGATCTTTAAGTTAGAAAAGGATTTTTAAGTTACGTTGCTGTTTTCAAATCTGCAATCGGTTTCTCTCTACAAGCACTTATCATAATCGTTTTCAGAAAATCCGAGAAGTAAAATGATTTTTAAGTTAAAAAAGGGGGAGAGGGGAGAAAGAACACAATTGCAGAAGAAAAAACACAAGGATAGAACAATCTTTCAAAAAAAGTGGAATTTTTTAAAGACGTTCGTCAAAAATGAATGATGATATTAGATTTTCTAACTTCAACGTAATCCGGGCTCAATTTGATATTTAAAAATAAAGAAAACAATGCAGAATTGTTTCAGTCTCGAATGATGGAAGAGTGAGAATGCTTAACTCCATTAAGTAAGTATTCAAACTAAATTATTCTGAACTAAAATTATCT